CACCTAGTCCAACTAGACATTGAACCGTTTGACAGATGAAGAAACTGAGGCCCAGTGATGTTAAACAATTTGCCCATGGCATCATAAAGGGAATAAGCAGGAGCTAGATCTGAATCCAGATCATAAGATCATAGATACAGAGTTGGAAGGAATCTTAGCAGTCATGGAGTTCAACTCCTTAATTATATATAGGAGGAAACTGAGGCAGAGAGAATGACTTGCCCAAGGTTGCAGGGAATAAATGATAGAACCAGGATTTAAACCAAGGTCCTGTGCTCCTTTTGCCAGACCACTATATTTCTCACTTCCAATCCAGTATGACTAGAGGGTCTGTTGTCAGGCAGTGGGAGATAAGGATGTTCTGGGGATCAGAGGATCTGGAGACCCAGGCACGGAAGTTTAGACTTGGTATAGTAGAGTTAGGAAAGCAGGGATGTTTGTTTGCTTGTTTTTTAAATGAGAATAATGATAGGAAGCATTTTAGGAGAATTAGTGTGGTAATGCCGATTGGAGAGAGAAGAAACGTAGTCAAGGAAAACAAATAAGAGGTTGTGTCAGTAATTTGGTATGAGAAGAGGACCTGAATGAGGAAGGTAACTGTGAAGATGGAAGGGAAGCAATGGAGATGAGAACCATGTCAGAGGAAATAGCAATGGGTTTTGTGACTGCTTGGAGGTGGCAGATAATACATACGTGTTGCCAAAGTTCGGCAACTGGGTGACTGAGACGATGGTGGTACAGGGAAGTCAAGAGGAGAAGCTGGTTTCATGGGCAAATTGGTCTAATAGAATTGGCTTTGGATCAGGAATTAGGAGACACCTGGCTCATGGTGAATCCTTCCGTGTCTCAGTTTCCTCACCTGTAAGAGGATGGAGGGAAGTGTTGAACAATGTGATTTTGGAGGGTCCTGCCAGTTGTAAAGTTCTATCCATTTGGTTTTAGATATGTTGAGTTTGAGGAGATGGCAACTTCTAAATGAAAGACTGGAGACTTTGAGGAAAAGATACCTTTCAAATGGGAGCTGGAGACCTTGAGGAGAGCTGGAGACTTGGGCATGGAGCTGAAAGGACAGAACTGGCCTGGAAATACAGATTTAGGAATTAGCAGCGTGGAGGAGACAACTGAAGTCATGAAAATTTGATGAGCACTCAGAGAATACAAAGAGAGATGTACAGAGGGCCAAGAACTGAAGTTTGGGGGAGCCCTCACAGTTAGGGGGCAGGAGGAAGGAAATAAAATAGAATCAATTAAGAAGTATTTATCAAGTGCCTACTAGTGCCAGGCACTGTTAGGTACCAGGGATATAAGTTAGGTACTAAAGATAAAAGTGAAACAGGCTCTGTCCTTACGGAACTTACAGATGGTGAGATGGAGAGAGGGCAAGTAGAAGATTGGGTTTTTGTTTGTTTGTTTTGCTTTTTGTGTGCTTTTTGAAATAGTAGAAACCCGTGTATGTTTGAAGGTAGAGATGAAAAAAAAATGGTAGAGAGGGGTAAATTGAAGACACTGGAGTGGAGAAGAAAATGTGGAGGAAGGAAGGGTTAGGACATAGAATACAGGAAGAAGAGTTAGCTTTAGACAGAAACGGGGGGAGGGGAGAGAGATGAGGGAGGGAGGGAAGGAGGAAGGGAGGGAAAGAAGGAGAAAGAGAGAGAGAGTGAGTGAGAGAGAGAGAGAGAATAAAGAGCATTGATAAAACATTTAAAAAGAATGAGGGTGAGATGGAGAGTTTGAGGAGAGAGAATCCGGTCACAGTGGGACGTCCATTTCTGGAATCAATAAGGGATGAATAAAAAGACTGCCAACCAGTGGTAAAGATGCCATTCAATTTGGACAGCCTAAATATGCATGGGCCAGGTCTGCAGGGCTCTGGGTCTCCTTCCAGCAGCTTTCTGTGGCCCGAGACCAAATGGGGAGAAAGCAGGAGGTGGAAGCACTTTGTGATTTGCAATCGGCATGTCAGGCTGGTAGGTCAATGTGGTCTGAGAGTTGCCATTTCCACTGACCTTTGACATATTTAATGGCCTGTTAAACTGTAAGCTCTTTGAGGTTAGCAAACTGTAATTTATATTTGTATTCCCAGTGTTTAACATAGTCACTGGAATATAGTAGGTGCTTAATGAACATTTTATTGACAATTATTGACAGGCCTGAGATCCCTGCGCAACTCAGTCTTTGTGGTTCTTGGTAATAGAAGCTTGCAAACTAAGGCTCCCTGACCAGTGTATCTTAGGAGTGTCTCCCTAACCCAACTTGCCGCACATGAAGAATCCAGGTCTCTTCATTTTGGGAGGTTTTAGCTTACTTATCCAGGGCAAGTAACAACACACACATAGGATGGGTGGTAAGAAGAGCTGGGCCCATTTCCCATGCTGCCTAGGGGCTGGTAAATGTTTGGTGCTTGTTTAGGTTGGATTGCTTAAAGAACAACCCCCCCCCCCCCAATTTTTGACTTTCGTAGTTTTTTACCTATTTACAAGCTTCACCTCCATCCTGCACCTTGTCCACACTGGTAATCTAGGATTTTGTTAATCATTGTAATAGAATCTTCACTGGTTGCAAGACTCTTTAAGGAACGTAGGTAGTTCTTCACCATCTTCTTGGATGGGAAGAGGTCAGCTTCACTCAAATCACCCCCATCTCCCTTTCAGTGGATCAGAAGTCGGTGGAGATGCTCCAGGAACACTTCTCTTCCCAGTCCTCCAAAAGCTGAGATCAAAAGGAATGAGTGAGTGAAGGGGAAGGTATTGGCAAATGGCTTTTTAATCAAGCTGTCACCAATAGTCTCCTCTGATTCCCGGCTTCTGGTTTTAATTTGAGAGCAGTCTTAGCATCTCAGTGGGGTCCGGCTGGCTGAGGCTGTAGCATCTGAAGTAAGCAGTGTTTGTGCAGGGCCGAAGGGGGCACGGACACAGCTGTCAGCTGTTTGTTGAGGCCATGAGGAGAGAAGGCCAGGTGGACTGATGAGGGGCCTGGGGTGAGAAGAATGAACATCAGCCTTTCGGATCAATGGGATTTGCTGGAAACTTTGATGATGACCAGTCACACAAACTAGCCTTAGGCATTCACTGTCCCATGCACACAAGAACCTATCTCCTACCTCCATGCCTTTGCACAGGATTTCCCCCATGCCTGGAATAAACTCTGTCTTCTCCTCTACCCAAGTCCATAGCTTCCCTCAAAACTCAGCTCAAATGCCAAAGACCTCCCACAAAAGGTCTTGGCTGATCACCTCAACTGCTAGTGTTCCTGTACTGTGCAATACTCTGCACTTATTCTGTATGTATTTTCTGTCTATCTGTCTATGGTACTTATGTATCTATTCTCTCTATCTTTCTCTCTTCTCTTTTCTTCTTCTTTTCTCTGTCTCTTTCTCTCTGTCTGTCTCTCTCATTTTGTACCCAATGAACGTAGGCTCCTTTAGGACAGAGACTGTTTCTTTATTTGTATTTTTCTCCCCAGCATCTAGCACATAGTAAGTGTTTAACACATAAATGAATGATTCAGAGAGTGGAGTGCTATCTCTAGGCTAATATCAGCTCTAAGAAAACGAAGTCAGGGAGATCATTTTCCTTCTCTGAATCTTAATTTGGTTTCATTAAGATACTTAGATAGGGACATGTAAAGACCAAAATTCTAACAGAGAAGGGCCTGGCTTTAACACTCATCCTTTCTGGAACACACCAATACTTGAGGGAAATTAACTGACCAATATGAGTCAACAATATGAGTTAAGACAAACTCTAACCTTCTGCAAGAGGATGTTAATTCAGGGCTGTTAGTTGGAAGTACAGGGTGCTGGTGGAGAGAATCTCAGGGGAGCACCATACTTTCACATAGTTGCCTGGGGATACCCTTGACCTTATTCCTCTTTGGTCATAAACCCCACAAGCTTTTAGTTCGAGGCAACTGGGTGGCACAGTGGGTAGAATGTTGCACTTAGGCTCAGGAAGACCTTGGGCCTGCATCCTGCCTGAGGCACTGACTAGTTGCATAACACAAGTCCCTTAAGCCTCAATTTCCTCATCTGTAAAATGGGGATAGCCAGAAACCACCTCATAGAGCTCTTGTGAGGATTAAATGAGATGACATACATAAAGTGCTTGGCAAACTAAAAGACGTAATGATATTGTAATAGTTGACATTTCCATAGCACTTTAAATATTATTTTTACTTGATCTTCACAACAGCCCTGTGAGGTAGGCACTGTTATTATCCCCATTATACAGATGAGAAAACTGAGGCTGACAGAGGTTAAGTGACTTTTTGCCCAGGGTCACTCTCACTACTACTACTCTTACTACTACTATGTGTTTGAGGGTGCTTGCTTCTTGGCCTCAGTTCATGGTCAGGCTCTGACATTTTGTGATCCCTATTTGGGTGATTTCATTTCTCCTCTGTGCTCAAACTGCCCATGGGGCTGGTCTTTGCTAGGTATCCTGTAATTGATACATGGGCTAGAAAGGGCAAGGTGTCCACTCTCAATTGCCTGCATCCCAGCCTTCTCCCTGACTCTGCTGTTGACGTTCCAGCCAGTGGGTTTGGGTGAAAAACTAGATGTCAAAGGCTGATGAAACAGGGGGAACCTGGGGGTCTTTTGCCAGTGTCACCTGAAACCCCATAAAGGGAGGGAAGGAGGGAGAAAAAACTGCAGAGCCCCCCTATCCCCCCTCGCCAGTGGGATGAGGCTGGGTTATGAGGAGCAGTTTGTATTTATTTGTGCTTCTCTAATTACTGCTTCTTCACATCTGTAGGAAAACAGAAGGAGGCGTGTGGTGGGGCATGCAAACAGACACATATCAATTTACAGCGGGTTATTAGAAATTCTCCCAAAGAGATTAAATCCTTCTAAATGATGGTCCGCTTGGCTGCTCCATAAAGAAATTTAAAAATCTCACCTCTCAGCCCCCTTCCCCCCCAATTCTACATCCCCCCCCAAAAGGGGGCAAAAAGTCAGTGGAAAACTGTAGAAAGGAATGAAAGAAATTAGCAGGCATCACTGAGGATGGCTAAGGACAGAAGTTTAATTTAAACAGCAATTTCATCTGAGGATGAGTTGCATATGGCCTGAGGCTGATAGATATAAACAGTATGGAGGACGAGCATCCCAAAGAGAGGAGGCTGGTAGCGGGGAAGGGAATGAGAGCTCTGCTCCCCCCACCCTCTAGGTCCTACATAGGCAATGAGGAATTCATCTCCCCAGGAAATGAAGGTGTCAAGGCAGCATTTTACTCTGTAGTTTAATGTTGTCTGCACTCTGGCTTCTATCGGACGATAGCACAGAACTATGGGCAGGCTGCTTAGCCCAAGTATTACACTGATGGGTGTTGAGGTAATGGCCAATTCCAATGTCAACTGCCAAGAGACTGACTTAATGAAGTGCCTGGGTCCGGGTTTGGTGGGTGGGTCAGTGGTGAGGGTGGAATGAAGTCCTGAGCTCAAAGGGAGAGCATGGCAGGTGCAGACTTACTCTATCTTTCCTCAGCACACAAAGGTAAACAGCACACAGCAGGTCAGCTCTCATGGTTTCTTTTTAATTCAATTCTTTGAATTGACATTGCTTGATGGGCTGGGAAGACCCCCACTGATGTGTTTACTCCAATCCAAAGCACAAATATCATTTGGAAACTGGCCACCACCACTACCACCATCACTATTGAGTCAGAAGCCTTAGATGGCCAGAGCTGGAGTTAGGGGTGCAGAGTCATCTGTGGGGGAAAAGCATCCCACCAGCTCCATGGATGAACCTTTATGGTGGAGTTCTGCTACTGACATACCAGAGGCTTATTAAAACAGCAAGATTGGTAAAACGTCCTCAGATACTGATTGGAAGGAGAACATGAAAAACAGCCCTCCTTTCTGAGAAAGGAAGGAGGGGGAAGGCATTTTGACTGCTCTGCATTTAGCAATCAGTCTGAGACTGTAGAAAAAAATCAGATTAAACCTAGGACTATCTATTGCTTAATTCTGTGTAAGCAGCTCTGAAACGGGTGATTAAAAGAGGAGATGTCTCTGTTCTTGCCTCTTTCCAAGGCCCAATCACAGAAGGGCATTCTGTTATTAGAGATACATCATGAGGAAGGGTTGGGGGTAGGGCTCACAAGAGCAAACAGGTAACTTCAAATCCTGATGAAGGGGGCCCAGGTCACCGAAGTTTTAGCCGCAGGGGCTAAGCAGGATAAAACTGCTTGAGTAGATCTTTTTTGTTGATTTTCCCCATCTGGTTCCGTGGGATTTCCTCAACTAACAAGACTTCAGAAGGGATGGTGTAGGCTGCCATGTATCCTCTGGAAAAGACAAAAATATTTGGTAACAGGTTTAGAGGGACCAGCTCTTTCCAAGAATCTAGAAAAGTTAAGTACTCTCTGGTTATGGTCTGGAGGAGTCAGGGATGAATGTGGTCGGTTGGCATCCTTGGGACCACCCTTGGATTGGGTGGACATCCTTGTGCAGACAACACAGGATGGATTTTCATGACTGTTTTCTCATGATCATCAACAATAAGCATTTATTGAGCACCTACTGTGTGCCAGTCACTTGCTGAGCTCTGCTGATATAAAGAAAGGAAAAATCAGCCTCTGGTTTCAAGGAACTCACGTTCTAATGGGAGAGACAACATGCCAACCACCATGTACAATGACATGGTTCTCCTCCTACCTCTTTGTCTGGTCCTTCTCCATCTCTTTTGTGATCGTCATTCGTGTTCTGCCGCTCCCTAACCATGGAGGTCTCCCAAGGCTCTGTCCTGGACCCTCTTCTCTCTCTTTCAGGGATCTCATTTATTCCTCTGGGTTGGATTAGCATCTCTATGCAGACCATTCCTAGCTCTAAATATCCAGTCTGGGGGTCTCTCCTGAGCTCCAGTCTCAACATCACCAAATGTCTATTAAACCATTCAGCCTGGATATCTCCTAGGTATCTCAGACTCACTGCCGACAAAGTTGAACTCATAATCTTCTCCCTCTTTTGAACTCCTTATTCCTCTTGAGGGTGCCTTCATCCATCTATAGTTACCCAGGTTTGCAACCCCAAAGTCATTCCTGATTCTTCACTCTTCATTATCCCGCGTAACAATCAGTTCCAAAAGTCTTCCTGATTCTGTTTTCACACCATCTCTTGCTTCCATCCCCTTCTCTCCTGTACACAACCTCCATCGACCCTCACCTGGAGACTACAATAGCCTCCTAATTGAGCTCTCTGTTTCGAGTCTCTCGTCTCTCGCCCCTCCATTCTAGCCTTCAAGGAGCTGCCCAATTGATACTCATAAAGCACACGCCTGACCATGTCATTTTCCTCTTCATTAATGGCTCCCTATTATCTCTAGAAGCAAGTACCAACTCTTGCTCCTCTGCCTGGTGCTCAAAGCCCTCGTCCAATCTGGATTCAGCCAGCTTTTCTGGACAAATTACTTCCCATCATGCACTTCACGTTCCAGTCAAATTACCCTACTTCTCATTCTTCATAGAACAGCCCATATCTTGGCAAACCTGGAAGGCACTTCTTCCTCCCCTTTGCCTCTTGGGATGCCTGGCTTCCTTTAGAGCTCAACTAGAGCACTAACTCCTATATTAAATGAGGCCTCTCCTGATTCCCTTAGCTGCTGGTGCTTTCCCTAGATCATCAAATTCTTTTACATTTATTTTGCATTTCCTTACCTGCGTATACTTTGATTCCCCTTAGTAGAATGTAAGCGCCTTGAGGGCAGGCACTATTTTTGTCTCTGTATTCCCAGAGCCTAGTACAGGGTCTGACATAGTAGGCAATTAATAAAGGCTTGTTACATGAATGAATGATTACCACATACAACCCCTTTATTTTATAGATAAGGAAACTGAGGCCCAGAAAGGGCCAATGATTTGCCCAAAGTCACAAAGCCAGTGACAGCAGGGCAGGAGTCAAACCCAGGTCTTCTGACTCAATAGTCCACATTCTATATGCTCTACCATAGAATCAGACACTGTGCATATGAAACACGAAGCCCTCAAATGATGTTGTGATATCACATAACAGAAATGAGTGCTTGCATTGGCGCCCATGCTCCACCATAATGATCTTGTCTCTCTTTCCATCAAAAGAGAATCAAGTGTCACACTACCTTGGCTGTGCCAATGTGTATTTTGACGGAGCTTAACCATCTTCACCAACATGAAAAACACACTCATTCAACATGCTGCCTTGGAATGGGTGATGAATCCAGATTTAACCAACAAATATTTAATGGACAACTACTATGGACTAAGAACGAAGAGGCATACAACCCCTTGGGAGTTTAATATTAGTCAAAGACAATGAGTGACACAAATACTCCTGTCCATTTTTGGAATGGTTTTGAAGTCACTAGACAGTAATTTTCCTAAGGCTGCCCAGGATCAAACCTGAGTGATTTGGACACCTGAACTCGCAGAGTGCTAAAGGCTAGTATTGCCTGTCCTCCTGGGAGTGTGCAAATATCTGGTTAGAAGTCCCTTTAATAAGAACAGCAGTTGAATATCAAATTCTTTGGTGCCAATGCATCTCCATTCAACATTCTATGAAGATTTGCTCCATTGTAAAGATACGCTGGCAAGCAAAGGATGGGTTCCCTCTTCTCTCACTCTGTTTCTGTCTCTCTTTGTCTCTGCCTCCTCCCTGCCCCCGCCCCCCAATAATTATACTTCAGTTACCATGAATCGATGACATACTATTTTGAGTTCGTTTTCCAGTAATGGTGATGGATTTGATTTGTTTCACTTCTGGACAATGGCCCACATTTCACAGAATCAGACTCAACCCTGGAAGGACACTTAGAGGTCATCTAATTCAATCTCCCATCCAGTGCAGGCATCTTTTCTACAGCATGTCTGACAGATGGTCACCTGACCTCAGTTGGAACATTTCTAGGAAGGAGGAATTTAATTAACTCAAATGGCAGTCCATCATTCCACCGATGGACTCGGAGAGTCTTGGAGCTGTAAGCAGCCTGAGAACTCACCTAGCACAACACCTTCACCTTAAAGTTTGTTTCTTCTTTTGTTAAACCAATATCTGCCTCCTTGTTCAATTCCACCCATCGGCCTTAAATTCTATCCTTCAGAGACACGCAGAACAAGGCCACTCTCTCATCCACGTGTCAATCCTTCAGAAGTTTAAAGACAGTCACTGTGATTTTCCTTCGTAAGAGAACTGGTTGAGGCTCAGGGAATCACAGCAAAGATGTAAAAAGAGCAAAACTGCCTGCCCTCCATGGGGACTGAACCCTGGCTTCATGACTACTGTGCTCTAAACCCAAGAGCTCAATAGCCACAAGGCCTCTATAAGCAACTCATTCAGCTACAGTGTGTTAATGCATCTTGGTAAACAAGTACTCATTATTTACCAGCCTGGATTTATTTTACTATAGTTGTCTTATCCCAAAGGGGCACAGGGATAGGTAAAAGAAATGAAATTATCATTCTTTATGATTTGTCCAATACGAATTGTTACTCATTATGGGCAAGCGGCCATTTGCAAGGCTATATTAAAATAAACATGGCTTGGCACAAGTTTCTGGAAGTTGTAGCGGTTTAACTCTTTGGTATTTCCAGTTGTGTCATGTTGCATAGCCAGCAATTGGATGGGGCTGAGAAATCCCAAATCGCGGCCTTAACAGATGGTGCTGTTTATGAATAAACATGAGCCTAATAGCCTTATAGGTCTGTGTACATCTGCCCACAACTAGCAAGCATCGGCGGACACGACGAAGTACATTGGTGATATGCCTTAATGGCGCCATTATCACGCAATAACATGGTGCTGTTAATGCATCCTGCTGCAAGCTGACAGGGTTACAGCTATGGCTTCCTGCAGCAACAATGGCTTACCCATCAACACCAGGGGATCTTGGGATGGAAGCTGCAATTTATGGCCCCTCCACTATGTGCTAACTTGTGATTGGATGCAGCTGTGAAACCCCAATTGTGGGTGACATTGTTCTTGGAAACCCCTTGGGTGGGCAACCTTACATGGCTGGGTAACATCTGTGTGCCATCGGCAGCTGTTGGGGGGATCAAGAATGTTTCTGGACTTACATCCTGCCACAGGTGTGGGAATGGACCTATGGGGATGTGATTCAGTGTGTGTGTGTGTGTGTGTTTGTGTGTGTGTGTTTGCATGCAAGCAAGCATGCATGCATGCATGCATGCATGCAACATAAACTCATATGCCTGGTCATTGTAGAAATGCTGGCCAATATAGCCACAGCCAAGGTCTAAAGTGGAGAAGGGGAGGTCTGGGAATTTTTGTTTAAATGATGGCATAAGGATTTATGGTGAGATTTTCTTCCTGTAAAGTCCCACTCTTTAACCAGAAAATTTCTCATGTGGACATTTATTACCATGGCTAGCAGAATGTCATGATGAGAGGGTTTCTATGCTCCACTCCATTCTCAAATATAATTCCCACCCTTGGGTTTTTGGTAGTCTGCCCTCCATTCCTACTTTAAAATTTTAATGAATGGAAGAAGCATCACAGAAATAGAGTTGGAAGGCATTTTAGAGGTCATCACGCCCAACTCTTCCTGAGGCCAGCATCCCTTCTAAAAAATTTACAGTAAATGGTCACCCAGCCTCTGAACACCTCCAATGACAGGGAATTCACTAGTCCCCAGGGAAACCCATTCCATCTTAGGACAGCTGTAACTGTCCAGATATTTTCCTTATATGGAGCCAAAATCTGATGCCCTGTAACTTCTACTCATTAGTTCTAGTGCTATTCTCTGGGACCAAAAAGAACAATATATATTTTTTACATATATTTGAAGAAGCAATCGTGTCTCTCCCCATTCTCTACTCCCAAGTTCTGGAGAACCAGAACAAACACCTCAGGTCCTTCAATCTACCTTTGATAGGTAAGGTTTCTAGTTTCCTCACCATCCTGGTCACCTTCCTCTGAATGAGAGTGTTCACAAAGCTGACATTGATTGTGTAAACACGCTCTGTGCCAGGAATACAATCCCTCCTCACCCCTGCCTCACAGAATCCCTCGCTTCCTTTGAGGTGCAGCTTGAGCACTACCTTCTGCAGGAAGCATTTCTTGATTTCTCCCAACTACTTGTGCTCTTCCCCCCAAATTAGCTTGCATTTCATTTTTTGGGTATGTATTCTCTTTATATTTATTAAATACTTATATATGTCCTTGTTGTCTCAAGCTCCTTGTGAGTAAGGCTTATTTCATTCATAGTATTTGTATCAGCAGCACCTAGGACAGCACCTGATAAACAGTAGGTGCTTAATAAGTACCCACTGCTTGACTGATTGACTGAATGCATTCC